GAAATGGCACGTATAGGGTGCGTGACTAACAATCATGGATATCAAATAGCTCAAATAACTGGCTAGATGAGAATTCCAAGAAACAGATATAATGCCAGCTAGGACTCCCGACTAAAGTAGTTGATTGCAAGATTTCCCCTTGTGACGCCCGGGCTTCAAATTTGCGCGGACCTATAGCCACGTGATGGTGTTGCGAATACTACAGCAAGTTACGCAGGAAAAAATAAAGCCATTAATAATGATGACTGAATGGGCCACTCCCAAGTTGCAAACTGCGAGGAATGTGTATGTGTTCCTATCTAGAGACAGGGCGGATGTGCAATTCAAGTCTAGTAGAAAGAGCCTTTTCCTATAAATATATGTACTAAATAAACAGTGCGTTTCTGACGAATGCAGTTTACTAGGTTTTTTGCCTTGAATAACTGTTGAAGGAGTACAAGTAGATAGAATTACAAAGCAATGAAAACATATGCTTTTCGTAACAATAACAATCATTACATAGCAAAGTCCGACAACTGACGCACTCGTCCCAAGTGTTTGATCCTATCCTAATGACTACGATAGTAGACATGGTTATTCAAGAGATTGGGCAATATAATATAGCCAAGTACCTGGTGAAATCGCCCATGTTTGATCGTGTAGAGACAAAATAGGCAAGTGAGCTACCGGGCCACATGACGGTTCACTCACCGGGGCATTGTCTACGCGCTGGCTCAGTCTTATAGAAGCGCCGTTGTGTTAGTATCCGCGCTACACCCCTTACGGCTGGGAGTCTGGTGTTTCTCAAACACCCCATCGCAATCAGTACTTGTCTCGCGGGAAGGGCTGCAAATATTCGTACGGCTTTCCACCAGAGTTCCGTAGGACATTTACCTTGATGTCTCGTTAAACGTCCCATAAAACTATTTCCCAATTATTCTTTTTTGAACTCGGACACTTAATTGTTCGCGTTGGTCTTGCCCTTACAAATTAACCTCGAGCACGTCCGATGGCAAGGGACCCTGCCAGCCCTCCATGGCCATATTTGTACTTCGCTCAACTGGGTCTGAGTCTGATATTTTTTCAAGTCGCTCCTTTTTGTGATAAACGCTTAGAGCTCTTCAGCGAAACCTTTTTCATCTGGTGATATTTAGCATCTCATGTGATAATGCTATATAGGGGTCCTTCAACCCGCTTCAGTCTCTACACCTGAGCTATTTCACCGAGCAATGCATTCTGCAACGAGCACATTGTTACTCCCATGAAATATGGAGACGGTTTGGGTTGGTTGCCTGCACGGGCGTTACCTCACTCCAGGAGTAGGGTGACATTTGATCCCCTTGACATGTGCGATATTCTGGATGGTAGTATGCATCTGGAACAGAAACAATTGGACCTGATCATTGCTACTGTTACAAATGACGTGATTTGGGCCGGGCTATATGTTCCAAGAGCTTCCTATTTACACTCAATGCTACGTTGACCTTGGGCAACATTCCCTTTCACATGTTGAGGAGGTCTAGCCACGGAATACGTACGAGTAGAGCGAAATGGCTGCGGCAACATGACTTGTTCTGGATGTAACCTGCTCGGTCCAATGGGTAAGATGCTTCCATTATCGGGACAGGTTTCTAGACGATGCATTTCCAGTCACCAGAGTCTAGGTTGCAGTCGTGTAGTGCCATCGCTTAAGCAAACTGACAGATGTGGAACAACAATACAGTGGGAATCATACATTCACCTGTCCAAGGCCGCCAACTTTTGATATCGGTGAATACTACTCGATATACTTGATACCGCCGAACTTGCATGGTTGCATACTGTACCCGCGCCCGTGCATGTGAAGCAACTTTCCCGGCCCGACAAGCACCCCCTGTGAGGATCTGCACAACTACACCTCTTGGCATTCAAGTAGTTTCCTCGTTGATATCTCAAAAAAATATTCGAGGAAACACCGGGTAAAGAGGACATGATGCAATTACACGTGGCCGGCCAATGGCTGCCGACTGGCCTCCCTCACAGACGTGGCTTGGGCGTCGCAGTGCATTCTACGCCCAACGGCAGCTCTCACAGTGTTGGGCTCATATGCACCATCTCTCCCTTCCGGATTCCTGCTTCCTCCATGGCAACCTCACTCATGCCCAACTGGCCTTTGAAGCAGAAGTTCCAAGCAAACAGAGTCTCATTAGAGGTTTCCTGTTGCTACATGCAAAGCAACCTCGTATAAGAAAAAGTGATGCACCGCATCTGTATTGTCCCGCTAATAACCGGTTGTGTGAGTAAGTGAGCATTCTCCTAGCATGGGGAAGATACTCTTGCCCGCGTGGTATTTATTAAGATGCCCTCTCTCCTGTTTGCTCTCTCAGGAACAACCAACTCTCTCTTCATGCCAAGTTTCGCCCGACTTAATTTCCGCGTCTTTCCACGAGCAAAATGACCACCCAAACCACCACACAGATCTATGAGACCATGTCTGTGCCGGCAGACATGCTGGCCCTGCGCACGATTGAACAGCCATTCTCCCTTGCTGTTCCCGGGGACGCGCAAATCACCGTGACCTGCCACACCAATGCCAGATACTACCAGAAAGTCACTGTCGAAGACGTCGCAAACAAGAAGTCCTGGGTATTTTTCGGGTCGGGTGAAGACGAGACGCCAATGGAGATTCAAGGCTCCAAAGAAAAGGGGGTGGTGCTGCTGCGCGCCCTCGAGAGCAAGCCATTCTTTCGCACCTTGAGGATATCCTGCGAGTACTCCTCCCAAGGGCCTAGCGGCCCCCTTGAAAAATCAGACGTCTTGGTGCCGCAAATGCGTTGTGAATACAACGGACCCCAGCATCTGAAGCGAATTTCATGGGAGATATTCACCGAAGATGGCGTGGACAAGGACTACAACGACTCGGTGCTTCGGATTACGGCGGAAGTGGACAAGGATCTCTGTTAAAATGGACGAGAGCCTAGCCATTGGCAGACGAGGAGGGCACGATACGGCGGATATGCGTGTCGGCGCCCAGGGATTGTGTTTGAGTCCAAGTTGGGCTGGAATTGGACTGGATGTGTGGACCAACGTTAGGATATAGCGCTGCGTCGAATACATATTTGTCATCTGGTGCCACATAGAATTGGACTAGGCGACTCAAGATTGCAAAACTGTCCCCGAGTATGTTGTGCTACTTTATTTATGAAAAATATTGATAAGCGTAATAACATATAATACTAGGTGTTTGCTGGTTGTTACCGGCGTAGCTACAAACCATGTGCTAGTCTGTTAAAAGAAAAACAAGCTCTAGAAATGATGCTGGCAGCTTTAAAAGGCCCGAATTTATATTGAACCTTTCATTTTGGCCCGCCCGGCCCAGCGCTTTGCTTACACCTATAACAAGGGCTTACGTTGTCATCCGACCTAGTAATTATCGTGACTGTTACGACCGCACCGTACGACTACGTATCACTGCGGAGACATCAGAGATCTAACCTAGTTTATCTTCGAGTCATGTCCTTGCACCTGAAATCAAAACATGACCACCAGCAAAGAGTCTTGAATGAAGGACTCGGCGGTGACTGCCCGCGCAGTTACATTCAGGGCTCAAGAACTCCGGTGAGGTCACCATATCCACGGCATGGAGAGGGCGTCCAAAGCAACTTTGAACAGTTCAGTCAGGGGTGGAAGAGGCCAGCTTGACCCCGGAGGCCAAAAGAGCGATACTGACTAGCAGGGACCCTGGTCCGGGAATAAGGGAATAAGGCACGGAACGTACGAGCGGAGAGAGAAAAACCAACTGCAGACGTGTCATGAACATGGGCTTACATGAGTCATGATGCGAAGCATAATGGGTTAGGTGATAAACACCCAGGAACTACCGTTGCGTCGGCATTTGATCATGCCAGCTCATCAGCTAGTGTTTTGACAGTAACGTGCGGAATGAATCCGCAGCCTCGAGATATGAGAACCAGACTAATCAATCGGTCCGTTTTGGCTAGAACCCTATTTGGTGGGTCAGGTACAAACCTCCAAATCCTATCGTATCTTCCAAATCAAAGATTTAGGAGGCAATTTAAATCAACTTGAATTCTTATAGAACCATTAGTATAGACTTATTTGGGTCACGGCAAAGGTCTTTGATCCGAACACTACGAGAGCGGATCGCACAAGAACTTTATCAGGCCATCATGGAAGCTGAGTAGGTCTATTCGTGGCTGTGTTTAGCCGCCTATATGTGTTACAGCCACATCCTGCGATATATTTTTATACTATAACGCATGGGAAGGAATAAAATATAGCTTTATTTATAGCTGCTACAACGATGAATGTAACATCATGCGCCCCGCGCTAGCTGATGCCTTTCTTCTTCCTTGAGCTATTTATTATTATCGTCATGGATACCTTTATTCCTACCACCTATCATTTACCTCGTTCAAGTCACCAGAGCACCCGGCGGCTTAATTCAACCATATAAAAAAACCCCACAGAGTCGGAAACGACTTGACGCGTTTGTTAAGGCCGTCATATTACCATAGTTTTACATGTGGAACAGAATCTCATGGAACACACTAAAGGGTAAAAATATTAGTTATCTAGCCAAATATGGTTAATAGTCATGCATACTACCAAGACACAGCTCCTTCTTGACACACTAAAACACAGTTCCGAATGGACCTACCCAGCTATACCAGGATACGAGCGAGTCAGGATTGCTTCAGATGTTGACGGCTGCAAGTTAGTCTTCTCTACAGTCAATGTCGGATGCCGAGTAGTTGGAGGGACCCTTGGTAACCCTTGGTACGACCTATTCTGCTGTCTCATACCACCTCTGCGATTCTTCGAAATTACTCGTTTGATATGCTTGGCGAATTCATGCACGCCCTGATCGGGGCCTTCTTCCTATTACTAGGTACTCATTCAAAAGCCGGTAGCTAACGGAATGAGTATATATATAAGGTCCTGCTCGTGCCACCGCTAGGAGAGTCAAACGACAACAGCAATTCCAACTTCATCTATTCACTTTTCACTCATTTTCCGACATGTTTGGCCTGGCTTGTTTGGCCCTCGTCTTGCCTCTTACGGCAGCTCTTCCTCAGACCCGCCCAGAAGAGCAGACGGCTCCCTTCAAAGCTGATCTCCGAGTCGATACCAATCGTGACGGCACGGTCGATCTGAGCGGCAAGACTGATAGCATCGGCAAGGATACATGGTCAGAGACCTCTGGCGCCCTTTTCCTCCCCAATATAGGGGATACCAGGCGCCATTGCGGGGATAATTACGACTGCGATGATGCTTCAACAAACGCCCAATGGGCACCACAAAACATGGCTCCGATGCGCACAGTGCCCATGTCCAACATTAGCGACTCTGCCACGGCAACTATTGCTATTAGTGATCCCGTGGCTCGCAAAAATGTCCGCATCTTTCTTGATTATCCGGGAAGGATCGTGGAAACTACCATCCAGGACCTCATCGACAGGACGTCACAACCACCTGTCGAGAACGACCGTTGGGTGTATCTCGAGAATGACACGCCGATTCCAGCGGACAAGCTACGACAAGGCTTGACCCTGGGCATCGATGCTCGCGATACCAGACGCCCAGGTGTATGGGACGGGAGGGTTTCGGTCGAGTTCAAGGTCACGGATGGAAGTAGGTCCTCGTCTGACAAGGTCATGCTGCGCGTCGCCCCGGTCCTGACACACCATCACCTTCAACCCGTTGAAAAGGTCTTTGTTACCAAAAAGCCTGTCGACGAACAGATGACCAAGGCCATGGCAAGAGTTGAGCAAGGTATCCAGAAGAATATGCAAAAAGCAGGCATTAAGGAGCCGCTCCATCGCCTCGATATAGACTACACCTGGGCTCAGGATGTCATGGAGCCAGCCTATGCCAGCATGCCCGGGCCATCAGGACCAATCACCTTGCGCATCCACATGACAGGAAAGCCGGTGCAGGTTGGCATTTCCGAGCAGACTGAAGTCTTGCTGTTCCGGGATCTCCGACGAGAGGGGATGGGAGCCGTCCGCGTTGGCAGGTTTCCAGATTTTTTCGAGCACAGAACGCTCGAAGCCGGAGGCAACATAGAGTCGATTCCTCCCTACACGCTCAACGGCAAAAAGTACCCCGCGGGCAGGATTGTCATTGGCGCTACAGACGCGCAGACACCGCAAGCGCTGGCCTATCTCCAGGCTCAGGAAACTCAGGATCCGATAGCGCTTGACACGACGTGGCTTTTTGTTAAGCATGTGGACGAAATTATCGGCTTCCTACCCGCCAAGACGTCACGCGGCTGGCGACTGGCCATTCTGGATCCAATGATGGGCTATGAAGCGCTTAGCAAGCTGGACCAAGATGGCCATGGCGACGTGCCCTTAACCAGCAAGCCCATGGCGCAAAACTCAACTGTTCCCACGGTCCGCGAATTCTTGGCCGAGGAGTCCACCAAGAAGACTGCTGCCTACAGCACGGAAAAGATAAAGCAAGCGCTGAATAATCTCCAGCAAGAAACTGGCATTGCGGACGAGGACGTCGTGAGGATTCCCGCCGTTATCGCCACGATGGACTCGTTAAAGAAGTGGCTACATGCTCGGGAGAAAGAGGATCCGAGCAGCAGCGGCAACAGGTTCTTGCCACTGAACTCGGCGTTCCCTAGCCAGGTCAATGGCGTCCCGCTGTCCGATTCGGTTTTTATAGCGCCTAAGCCGTGGGGTCCCGTCGTGGATGGCGAGGACATTATGGAGAAGATGTCGAGGGAAGCCTACGCCGCAGCAGGCTTCGATGTAGATTTCATCGATGACTGGGACTTCCTCCACTTGTCCAGCGGGGACTTGCACTGCTACACGAACACGTTCCGTACCCCGACGGCGCAGTGGTGGTAGGGATCTTGTGTTACACGGAAAAGGCCCAACAGTAGTGAAGCCCAACAAAGGGAACTCACCGACAAAGGACCTGTTGGTTACACAACTTGAGCACATGACCGGGCAAGAGCCCTAGGCACTGACGTTCTTTTCATGTATACGGAGTATATATAGTGGTTGCTGTTCCCTTCCTTCCTCTTGGAAAACCGAGGACCTTTGACACCCTCCGAGATTATCTTTAAAATTGACTCTTTTGCTCCAGGCCTTCTATTGAACCCTAGTGACACGTGATTAGTGCTAACATTGTAAATGGGTGATATTGTGACTATAAACTGGCAGTTATCGCACCTAAATCGCAGTGTAACATCACAATGACTCATGGGCTGAACAAGGCTTTTCAAAAAATGAGATTGTTGCACGGTTTGTGACGTTATTAAAGTTGTAGTTGGCCATATTTTGTATTATGTGACAATGGTTTAGTAAGTGCTTGGAGAAAGAGTTCAATTCATCTAATAACAGTCCTTGGTACAAAAGGTCCTTGGTTATTCTCAACAACTGGTGTAAAGAAGGTTGTTATCGAGTTTTTGCCAATCGAATCCTTCCATGATAAACCTGTTGAAGATGGCCGAACTCGTCGCTCATGAGACTTGTTGTATGATCCGGTATTTGGACCCTATTTCAAGCCACCCGAAGAGCTTTCCTACGTCATGCGGCCAATATTGTTAGACATGGTTGAAATCTAGCAAGTAGACAAAGAAACGGATTTCCTCAAATTGCCTCTGTCCCAACAGCTCATCGTAGACGGGCCTGTTTTTCTGGACTTTTGCCCGGCGGGCCCAGCCGCCCTTAAATATTCACGGCAGATTGACGTTCCCGGGAAGGCATTAAAGGACATTTGGATAAAGCCCTCAACCTTTTGGCCACCTGTCATGACAGCATCTCTCCATGTTGCCCCATTTCCCGCTGCTATTGTCGACTTCGTTACCTTCCTGGAGGCTAGTCTGCGCGAAGCTCTGTTCAACCAACTGGGCGACTAAGCTATTTTGGTACACTTTGATTGGGTGGATAGGGACAACTGGTCTATTGACTATTGACCAGGCATGTACATCCTGGAGTCGCAGGAATACCTCGTCTCAACGTTACCAATGGAACCCGGGCACCACCGAAGGGAGCAACTGCGCTGGGGCATGGCAAAGATCGAAGACCTAGTCACCTGGGAAGATTGCAAGGCCACCATTTGAAACGGCACCTCGTATGATCCCTTGGGTGTATTCTACGGATCAATCGTGTCAAGAGTAGTCGCGGAGAAGAGAGTCTTATACTTGTACTATACCAGCGTATCCCCCCTGCTAATCCACTGGTCTCAGCCGTACGTTAAGGGATGCGAAACACTATCAGTCGCCATCTCGACAGACTTGGTTCAGACTTGGCTCAAGCACCGGAATAATCCGTTCTTGGCAGTCCGCCCCCAAAGAGGCTGCGACCTCAGGATGGCGCCATCGATTCGTGACTCAATCACAATCACTGTCAAAACTGCTTAGTCTGTGTCAAGACATGAATTACATGATGCTTACCTCGGGCGAGCGGAATCGCGGTCCCCAGCTTCATCTATACAAGTCTAGCAGCCTTTCACGCAGCCCATGGGAATACGTTTCTACCGTTTTGGATGCTAACTACACCACTATCTCTCCAAACGAAGAAGCTTGAAGTGGGGGATCTACTTTGGATGTGCTAGCTCCTTTCCTATAGATTAGACGAACTATATAATATTTGGCGTTGAAGAAACAGAAGAGAGCTAACGGCATAATGGCCACTCTCTCTCTGCTCTGGATATCCCGCAAGTTTGTACTAAATAAGCATAACCTGCCAACGTTTACGATTTACGGCCATAGCATGCTTCATCATGGCATTTTATACGCTGTACATATCTTCAGAGACGTAGAGAACCGCCTGATACAGCTAGGATTGGCGCGGCTGCCTAGGCCACCCACGAGAGATTGCGGAAATTTCGCGACCACCCGTCCAAAAGACGATATCATGGCCGGAATGGTAGATTGACCACGCATCTGGGGTAATGAAGACGCTGGGAATTCGGCCGGCGCCGCAGGTTGATACCCTCCGACAAGGGCTTCCAAACTATTCCTCTCTTGAGGACCTAAAAACCCTTCGGTCAAATAGCTACGAGCTTAAAATGACGTTTTCTGAGTTGGGTGGTTTGGAAAAGTTTGTCTTTGACTTGTTCCAGTCGCCTGGCTGCTCCCAGGTGACAGCCGCCACCAAGATCAGGAAGTGTTCAAGTCACAGAGCATTGGGGGCCATGTTGCCGAATAGATGGCCCGATTGGCAATGAGGTAACATTGAAGCATTCCAAGTGTGTCGCTTCCCATATCAGCTAAAGGCGGGTGCTGTATTTCCATTTGCATGAAAATAACTATCCGAGAAATATTCCACATTTTCTTTGGGCAACAAGGAGGATTTTCTGCATGTTCAACTCGGTCTCGAGTAACCTGGCTTTAGTATCCATTGAGAAGAAGCAGACAACGCTTCATCTAAAGGTTAAACAACAATTACCTCGACTATATTCTCACTATATTAACATTCTAATGGCACCAACATTTCTGCAACCGTCCCTGTTCTTACGCCTCCACCCATGGGAAGTACCGTGTGTGTAAACATTTTCGATTGACCATGGTTGTCAGTACCGTCAACGAGGCCTGAAGCACCTCCGCAAGATTGAACAAGCCTCACTCAAAATTCTGACACGGCATATTGCGGGTCCGACTGTCTGGTGCAAATGCACCACTTCAGATCTGCCAAAATACACCACAGTTGTTATATGGCTCGGGTCTTGTGGAGCATTTCCAATATACCGTAGCAGAGTTGACCGTCCGACAAAGAACTACGAATAATGACAGCATCGCATTCTCGTGCCGCAGACGTAATGCGCCTTGCTTCGTATTCTCGGACGAAAGGGGCTCCATTGAATCCAGGCTCCATCGGCAACAAGACTCGCCGTAGCATAACCCTCCGGCCTACATAGTACCCTCTTGCGGTGATGAGTCGTCTCAAGTTTAGTCAATCTGTTCATGTACAATGAACCTTTGCAAGTCCTAGTGATTCTCGGAGAAATATCAAACCTCTGACGCAGTGTTGCATCGCAAGGCGACAAGATGACAAGGCTCATTCATGACCGCCATGACGTCCGAGTGTGACTGTGCCCGAAAGTCCGCTCATTTCTTGATTGATTCAAAGGCACCATCGTCCCCCTCTCTTAGTACCCTACGTTTAGGTACTACCACCAGATGGAGCAAATGCATGTTTGGTCTTGTTCAAGTTTGAGACATGCAGCTGATGCTCGTGCCGGCCTCGCATATAAATGCCGAGAATTGTCCCTTTCGGCGTCGGTGAAACTCCGTTTTCGCCCTCACCAATGGCAAATTCGGGCCCGCCCCCTCCAGCCGATGTCTTGAGTCGCATATCCATCAATGATTACATTATTCAGCAGTTTCGTCGTGGCATGCGCCCCCACAGCTGAGGGAAGTTGTCGCCGAGAAAAATTCCACCAGTCATCACGGCCCAGACAAGCTGGCCCTCTGTTCGAAACCGTTCCCGTCGCCGTTTCCAAGCTGCCGCAGAAGCACATCTTTACACGGTCAGCAAGAACCCCGTAGGTTCAACGACGCGCAGGTGGCCGCCATGTTGGACTTTGCATCGCCCACGGCTGACGTGAGGTAGTTTGTTTTCCGGTACAGAACCATCAATGTACTGAAGGCGGCGTTAGAAACACCCACCGCTTATGCATGCAAACGTCACGGACACGTACCTGAGCGACATGGCGACGGTTTCGCAGAGGGGAAACCGTCCTCCTTGGGTTTTGGATATGTAGCTGCCAATTTGGCCGTATATCGTCTTTTCGATGGCCTCGCATTGTGCCAAGTCGGTCGAGGAGCCTATGGACCTGGACATGTCGCCGAGGCGAAGGGCGTGTTGTGCGCGGGCGAATAGATTACGGACGGCATCTTCGCCGTAGATGTCCTCATTTGAGGCTCTGTGAAGTAGAGAGTCTTGCGGTACTTGGCTTGGGTGGACGAGTTGCGGCAAGTCATGGTCAATAGTTGATAGCACGACGGTCCTGAAGCAGGTGAGTACTTATGAGTGCCAGTGTGCTTTTTTCAGAGCTATACTCACATATCGAGAAGAATGATGGCACTAAGGCATAAATCTAGCTGCAAGCGGTGAAGGGAGACGTGTCGGCCTGTTTGGCCGGCAAAGTTGGTTATGTGATTATGCAGGTTGATGCGCTGAAGGAGGCTCCGGCAAGCGATCAATGTCTCGTAGGCATCCTTGCTCATGCCATGGCCAATCTCATGAGTTGCGAGTATTATACCAGACTGCATGAGAAGGACTTGTGCGGCGGTGTCTGAGGAGGCTTGCAGAATGGAAAAGAGGCTTTTGACGGTCCGATACAAGGTATGTCGTACTGGGTGATTTGCGTGTTGACATGGCGGGGTGATGAAGAGATACATGCAAACTATCATGAGAGCAAAAGCATCGTCTTCGACCGCCGAAACCGCCTTTTGGGCAACGAAATTCTCCGTGCTGGCGAGGACATTGTCCCTGTCCAGAATTGGCAGCCAGTGATGGGCAATGTCGAAGTAGCTTCTTACGGTGCCCACGACGTGAACGCCGGCTGAATCGAAAATGTCATTGATGATGCAAGACAAGGATGCCTGCGGAGCGTCTCCATCATCAACAAAGGTACTCTGCCTCGCGCACGCCGCCCAGAGCAAGGCGCGCTCGCCAGTAGGGGACACGTCCAGCGGGCAAAGGCCGCGCAAGATAACCAATGTAGCCGCCGCAAATTGGGAGACGGACGCAATTTGGCGCAAAGCAGCTTGATCTCTCGCTGGGTATGTACACTTGACAACTCTCCTTGTGAAGCATTAGCATTTTGCACGCGGCTGTCAGAACAGAAAGGCACCGGACGTACGCCACGCAGCGAGAACAGTTGGGGATGACCCTATCACAGCGCTGCTTTTGCTGCCGGCAGCTCAGGCACGCTCCAGGAGCCAGTGCAAGCGGGAAATTCGCCATCGTCATGTGGTTGTATCTACTATCAAGCGATAGCAGCGGCGAGCCTCAGGCTGATGACGTCGCAATTGTCAGGGGAGCAGCGTAGACGATGCCGCGAGAGTGGCGGAGCAGCGGCTAGTGCCCGAGATTAAGCTTGGAGAAGAAGGTTTGCTGAATGCTACTCAAATCTTTCAGAGTTCGGACTCGTCGGAAGATGGAAGATGGGCAAGGTGAAACGTCGTCGGGCTGCTTGTCAAGCCCACTTCCTGTTGCAGAAACCGAGTCTCCACCGGACCCACATTTCGCTAGGGTCGGCCGACCCTGGTCGATCCCGGCAGTTGTAAGTCCATGCCCCATTTTGGAACTTGGGAGAGACAGGGATCGCCCGATCCCTACCCGGACCACGTGTTTGTGATGTTGTAGTTTGCGCTTTTGTGATTACAAACGGACGCAGTTCAGGTCCGTCGTGGCCTGTAGTGGTCGTTGCGCAAGTCATTCGATGCATTTGCCAACACCGTGGGTCTGCGGAACATGAAAACACCAGACACCAACATGGAACCCTTGCATCGCCAAGTAGCAAAGTGGGGAGATTTACGTCAATATCCAAGAAATACGGTCATGAATTATATGTCTACTGGTGTATAAATATCAACCGTCGGCCTCTATGCCCAACATGCTCAATTTCACCTCCAAGCCATTATCGACATCCTTCGTCCAGAACCTTTGTATACAACCATCATGAGTCTTCCAACAACTGCACGCGGATGGTCCGTCCAAGCCATCGACAAAGACAGCTTCAATGGACTCAACTTTCAAGAGAGCATACCTCTCCAACCCCTCGGAGACTACGACGTGCTCGTCAAAATCGAAGCCGTCTCTCTAAACTACAGAGACTTGGCCATCCCAAGGGTTTGTAGCCGTACCTGCTTCTCGAAATCCCAAAACGCCAAAGTCGCTAATACGTCGTCAGGGCCGGTACCCGTTTCCCATGAATCTCCCCGTCGTTCCCGGGTCCGACGCCGCCGGCATCGTCCTCGCAGCCGGCCCCAAAGTGACAAAGTTTGCAAAGGGAGACCGAGTCTGCACCCTGTTCAACGAGCTTCACCAATCGAACCCCATCACTCCCGAAGCGGTCGAGAGCGGACTTGGAGGTGCGATAGACGGCACCCTGCGCAACTACGCCGTCTTCACGGAGCAGGGCCTCGTCCGGGCGCCCGCTTCCCTCAACGCCATCGAAGCGAGCACCCTCACCTGCGCTCCGTTGACGGCGTGGAATGCCCTCTACGGCCTGCAATCCAAGGCCTTGAAAACAGGGGACTGGGTTTTGGCCCAAGGCACAGGCGGCGTCAGTCTTGCCGGTATCCAATTCGCCGCTGCAGCGGGAGCCACGGTGGTCGCCACGACCTCGTCAAATGACAAGATTGACTTCCTCAAGGACCTCGGCGCTTCGCACGTCATCAACTACAGGGAAGAATCTGACTGGGGCCAGGTAGCCAGGGATTTAACACCCGGACGTGCTGGGTTCGACCACATTTTGGAGATTGGTGGCCCAGGGAGCATTGCGCAGTCACTCAAGGCCATCAAGTTGGAGGGCGTCATCACCATTATTGGTTTCCTGAGTCCTTCTGATACGCAGCCGCCGTTGATGGATGTGCTCAACCACCTTTGCACTGTTAGGGGCATCTTTGTCGGCTCGAGGCAGCAGTTTGAGGAGATGAATCGGGCGATTGACTCGGCCAAGATTCACCCAGTGGTTGACCCCAATATATTCGCGCTGGAGGATTTGAAGAAGGCGTACCAGTATCAGTGGGAGGGGAAGCATCTCGGAAAGGTGGTTGTCAAGGTCGCAAGCTAGTCGGTCATTTTTCACAATGACCAAGATACTTGGAGATGGGGAATAAACGAGCCATGATGATAGAACGCGAGTATGACCGAGTAGGAATTTTACTTGCCAGATCGTTGGTACTGCAATAAAAGATGAATACCACGCGTCTGAATGCATCTTGAGATCCAAGCACATGGAGTGCAGTACAGGTTCCGTAGCCCTCCCAAACAGCCCTTGAGAAAGACGCATGCTCACGTTGTGAATTGGTCCCTCAACACTGCTTCCTACAAGACGCCATCAAGACGCCGCCATTTTGGAACTGCGCGTCCAATTGGCGGGAGGCCGATGGGCAAGGCCAGCTTACGCTGTCAGCCCGTTCCACGAATTGGCTATCAGCTCAACCTGTGCAACTAGACTTCTCATCAGCCATCTTCCAGAAGACCGGCTGTGGACCCGGCAGTTGGTAGGTAATAGGCTACCCGTCGCCAATGTGGCGCAAAGCAATGTGTTTGTATCGTGGCATCTAGACGCCCGCGACGGCGAGTTCCCGATGCGACCGAAGGAACCGACTCTCGCCTTTCCGCGTCGCGCATTCTGTTAGAAATCGACCCGAAGCAGCACATGGAGGCGGCGTTGATCAGATAATCAAAAAGATGAAGGTGTACAGAGTATTGCCGGCATTTTGTCTCATAAAGATGCTCTGTTGCCCTCAACTCGGACGCCCAGGATCCGGGATAAGCAGCAGCTCAGACAACTGATGCAGCAAACACGAAAATCGCACACGATGCATGAAACAAATGATCCGATGCCTTTAAAATCTCCATGGCCCGAATTCATGGGCTTCTCATTTCCACAAAGCCTCATTGGCCAGTCACACAAGACGAGTGGTCTTTTCCAGCCGGTGTGTACTTGCGCTCCCCTACGTCGCAACACTGCTCATTAACACGATTTGCTCCAGGACGAAGTCGATGCCGTCATCGAGGCTCCCGGCTTCTATCTCGCCGACGACCTGGGCCATCTCTTCAGCGGTCCCCTACCGTCCACAGACGAAGTTGCACAAACCCCCGGAAGCTCATCCTCGTCACAGTCCTCCGACGGTTGCAGCTCCGGTCTCGAAGACGCAGTCGCATGTCCTCAGTCTAGCAGTCGCAAAATGGTGGCTTTGGCGCCGGCACAGCCCAGATCGCCACCGAGCGCAGAGTCGCAGCTGCCACCAGGCTCGAGATATCACAAGCGCAGGGAGCAGAATCGGGTGGCGTACGTGCTCCATACTTTTCTTGCAGTTCGTCGTGGACGCAATCACTAATCCGAAAATCACGGCATAGCCAGCGCGCGTTTAGACGCCGCAAGGAACAGCACCTCAAGGACCTGGAAGACAAGGTGGCGGTTCTGGAAGCGACTCGAGACCGCATCTACGCTGAGAACGCCCGGCTGCAGGAGGACCTGGAGCGAGCGACCATTGAGCACTCGCTCCTGCGGAACTTGGCCACGTCCAGCAGCGGATTCGATTGCGCCGACCGGTCTGATGGCTCCATGTCGTCTGTGTCCGCTCCAAGTGCGGAATGGTTGGCGAGCCCGCCACAGACGTTACACTCCGAACCACACTCCCTTGCGGGTTTACGGCCGCGGTATCGTGGACGTGAGCTGAATGCGGGCCAGATGTGGGAGTTTATTACTGGCCACCGCCTGTTCCAGGAAGGACTGGCAGACGCTGACACGATTGCGCGCGAGCTGCGCAGGTTCGTTCCGGGGAATGGAACGGGGGGCATCACAGAAGATATTCTCACCCACTGCATTTACCAAAGCGCGAGGACGGCGGCAGGAGGGGTACAGTTGATAGATTAGTTCCGCCCGTCATTGATTTAGCTTGCGCATCGTAATGCCAACCCTGCTCAGGTTCCGCACATGGTCTTTTTGCCGATTCGTGGATGATTTCCGACTCGGCAGCCCCATGCTACGCCATGCTCGACATGACGGATAAGCCCTGGAAAGTACGACAGCACGGTACGACTGGTGACTGGTTGCCGCAGGGCAAATAAAGAGCGAGTACGTAGTCGGGAGTACACACACTTGACGGTCTTGTCAGCTCAACTTTCAGCGGGCGGTGGTGGGTGGTTCCGCCGTAGTGACGGAACATGTCCGTGGTGACAAATGCTGCGTGAGCTAGCGAGCTTAATCGTTATGGTGGCGTTTGTGTGACCTCGAAGCTGTGTCAAACGGCGATCAATATTGGAGGTGGCTGGAACGGCTGTTTGCCCAAAGCCGATGATGCTGTGGGGTAGGTATTTCTTCCCATCACAGGCAGGAAGAACATGTCAGCTGGTGATGATGGATACACAACTTCTCGCTATAGTATTAATATATTATCATGATGTAGCCAGCTGTTTATCTATGCAGCGTATTAATGGAGTTCTGTCACCCCTCGCGATGAACAGCGTAGTACCTTTATGCGACAAGGCAGATTAAAGTTTAGACAAGGACTTTTATTATTAACGAATGGAGGGTATTTATAGGCAACGGATGAATTAATACTTTGTGGGGGGGCGGAAGGCACGGCTGAAGAGCGAGTGCGAAGTAAATAAAGGCGTCCGGCTTCGAGAAACGGATAGCCACAGTTATGCAAGGCTTCTCCTGCGGTTAACTGCTTGCATGTGCTTTTGTGGCTGCAAGTGTCTACACAATGTGAATAAACCGACATTGACCCCGCAACCTGGGCTTGAGTGGCGATAAAACCATTAATAGCAATAGCCATGTGTTGTCTCCTGAATGGAGTGTGCCAATAACGCCCCCGTAATGACAAGAGCGTATGGGACGGCGTGTTTTCCATGTCGTCATCTAAAGATCAAATGCATATACAGCACTGCTGACCGTGATGAGCGCGAAAGATGTGCCAAGGTAGGCCGTGTTTCGCAGCGCCACGATGCCGGCGAGTTGCAAAACATGATGAAAAAGGTGATACGGGAGAGTTCATGGAACATTAAGCGAAAAAAACGTGTTTACGAAGGACACAGAACTCATGTGATTACATCCACCCTAGGGCGACTGGCGTTGTGTTGCTAACAACCGACTTGTAAGTTGTGATGGTGCCCCACCCTTTGAGCCGGGCTGAGGGTTAGGGTTAGGGTCATGCAGGCAGCTCCCAATAGATGGACTCGAGTTACTCTGCACAACGGCCGAGGCTTTCAAAAAACTACAGCCCTTATTTTCAAATTATGAACTGCCCAGCGATCCAAGCCGCAGAACGTGAGGTATTGGCAGAACCGGAAGAGATTGTACCGAAACCTCGTCGTCTGTCAGCCCACAGGGGGATTCAACACTGCCGTGAGGACCTTTCCCCAGGGGACAAAGCCCGGCGACTTGGCGGGATTAACGCCTCCTGCATTTGTATTGAACTCAGAGGATGCCAGGATTTTGTCACTGGATTCAGCGTCAGGCCCAAGAAGCTTACGAGGCGAATCGATTAGCGAGGAAGCAGATTCAAGTTGTGGAAGCAGCGACACCGTCGGCCACAACAGCCCCATTCGCCTCAGACTTGTCAATCGATAATCCGTTCAATACCTGTACGAGGGATGCTTGCCTCATTTAGAGTATAGTGTGGGATTCTCAGACCCTGTACTGCATACCTTCGATTACATGCGGCAACGGTCAAGCTGCTTGTTTGCCGTCCTGACGTCAATATTAGCACCGGGTGTTTCGTCTAGACCTCGCCGGCAGGCGGTCGAAACTTGAGGCTAATTTGCAGCGACCAACTTGACATCTGGTTATATTTAGGCAGTAAACCCATCTCCATCTATCACTTATAACTATGAGTTGACATCAATCTGCGTTTCGATAGGCCATTCCGTCATTAATAACGTGATAAGCGCTCGGTAAGCCGCCAATTACTACTTTATAGCCCTCCCGTTTAGCCTGTATAATAGCGCATAGCATGCAGCAATCGCCTTGGTATAGCTGCGTGATATCTGGGGCACAGCAAAGGAACTGAGATTCTTTATTCCGGTGTGTCAGCGTCATTCCAATCTCATATTTGCCCGCAGGGACGGGTTCCATAACGGATGTGGCTTTCACAAGGTACGCAGAGTCTGAAACAACAAGAGGTGTCGAAAGATTGTGTTCACAACCGTCAGCCGGAGTGAGACTCATAAACCCCAGGTGAATATCCAGAAAGTTGACGTTAATAGTGCCGTTGACTTGCCTAATCAGACATCGTAGAACAAGGGCACGGCGTCCTTGTATTATAGCAGGACGCAAAGTCATCAGAAGGCTGCTGTGCTCACCAAGTCCCGATTGAGTAATCGTGCCCTGCTTGATGGATGACTTTGCTTTTGATCTAGCTGTATTTTTTATTTCTTTTTTACCTGGCATTGCGCAAATAATGAAATCATAGCAGTCGGAGGCGTGGTGTAACCTTCCTTCCACCAAGTCGTACTGTATAACCCATGGATTACTTAGAGTTGGGTACGCAAGAGTACTGGGGTAGATCGTCGAAGTACTGGAACTGCTGCATATAATGGGTGGTTCTTCTTCCTGTCGTTCGTGTGCTTCGGAAAGAATTGTTCCCCAGCGCCCGAGGAACTTCAAAATGTCCCCGTGTATTGTATCGACCATAAATTGACCCTGGTAGACATCCCGACGCAATAATCTGCAGTAAATGTCTCCAAAACGATGGATAAAGAGACCGGGTTGAAGCCTCATGGAACTGTTTGGGGATGCTTCCACGAAGAGGGTCAGTAGCGCGACGTGCATAACGTAGCCTACGGTCGACCAGAGCGTATTGACCGGACATATTTTCCACTTTTTGCCGGCGATCGTATTGGCTTTCGGGTGTTTCTCGTCGTTCCATGGATCTCCAGTGGCGCATATTCCACATATACAATGTGAGAAAGGCAGCGCCGCTGAGATGGTGTTCTTCAGGGCCCTGTGCTCAGTAGCCGGGTCTTGCAACACGTCGGCAGGCCGGCAAAGCACTTTCTCCAGGCGATCACGAATGATGGTTCGATACATTGGCCCTAGAGCAGTCCTGAACCCTTGAGCTGGAAGCATTTGCGCTCGAAAAAAGTCGCTGGAGTTTTCGCGGTAAAAGTCTTTCCCTTCAAATGACATTGCCATGGACGCAATGAAATTCGCCACGACAAGTTTTGGCGATACTCGTGGATTAGCGCCTGCCATTGCAAAAGCAATGTCTAGTTGACTCGACAGCATGCCGTTAAATGAGAAGTTGAGTTGTCGGTTGAATTCATGTTGGCTTTCAACAATAATATGGCGTTTGTGAAGGTCTGCTGTATGAGGGTTCAGCTTTGTTTCCAGTTGAATTTCTGCCTGGGAGTTCGGTGAACTAGATATTGAAAAGATAACATTGTCTCGGCATCCACGCATAATAATCCCTCCGTTTACTTCTACCAAGACGTCTTCGGGGCATATAGCAAGCACTAAGCTTAGGAAGGTCCCCGAAGATCTCGTCCCAGAGTAGTGAAGAATTAGACTCTCTTCCAGGAGGGCAGCTCGAAACTTGATGAGAAATGCATGCATATCTGTTTCCGTGGGCTTGTCGGCTAGGTCTCCCGGGATCTCCAAGCCAGCGTCCCAGAAACACTGCCTTAGTCGGGTGACCTGGAGACCAAAATGGTTTCCGAATCCGAGACATCCTAGCTTACTTTCTAGGACCATACAAACATCTCCTAGCTGAATGGGTGAAGATGTTTGCTGCTCTAGGGGTAGGATATCTCGACCGATATCGAACAATGCCATGCCGCATTGACCGCTCGAGTAGAGGCTGCCGAGCGCACAGCAGAGCAGGGCCGCAGATCGTCCACCTGCCGTACGGCTCATAAAAGCCGGCACATCGTTTTTTTCCCATCCAATCCAGCTAGAGAGTCTCTCGAGTCTAACACATGAAGTTCGAGACAGAAGATCTGGCACTTTTGCTGCCCAGGGACCGTTGCATTGGAAGCAGGCGCCGATTGCCTGGACCTGTATCACAGCATTGTGGTTGACATTGTCGGCAGAAACTGCCCGTAAAAGCCCCTGGGTGAAGCTGACAGTGTCCAGAGCTGCTCCCGGAATCGACGTAATGTCTGCTTGGACAGACACTTCATTGCCGCCCGACATGATAGAGTGAGAAAGTAATTCGCGTTGTAAGCAGCCCCGCGGCTATTATTGACCACTGAGTCTAACGAAACATAGAAAGAGATAAGAAAGGGACAGATAACTTGAATGAGGAAACCCTCTGCTCTGAACTTGCTGCACGAGGGGGTTTTCACTAGAGAGCCGACGGGTTGGATGCGCTGCTGTGCCTACCGCCACCATTCCATACATACTCAGCCGCTTCGCATAGTCGATAGCTTGTCGCCACCGTGGCTACGTTTCTCAGTCTGCCTGTCGGTCAACGGTGTGTCTTCTGCACGTTGTGATGAAGCTTACATTGGCTAAGCCACCGCCATTAAAGCCTGGAAATGCAGATAGCTGGCCAACACACTTATTCGTGCCATGTAGTTATATTCGCCCAGCCCGCTTTGCTTACCCCTAGGACAACTCGTTTGTTGGCATTAGGGTCTTGTATATAAGCACTTTTAGGCAGAGCTTCATTATCCTATAAAGCAGATATTAAAAATCTCGTGGTCGTTATATGCATATATTACTGGAAGGACCTCGAAGACAATCGAGGCTAAGCGTTGATCGATTTCGCAATGCGACTCGCAGCAGCATCGGAGTGGCATGGCCGACTTCAAAACACTAACACTGGGGTCGACGATATGAGCAATCGGAGCAAGGTTAAATTGACAGAGAGGGAGACAAGAAAACTCAAGGATCATGACAGAGCTTGGCTGTACCTTGGCACTGGGCAGCCTGGATAGAACGTAGGTCTGCCGGATAGTAATCAAAGATTTAAAGCCCCTACTTACTCATCTTGTCACCTATCTTACGTTGACAATGATGCCAGGCTCTCTTTTTCTACCTATCGGGCCGATTGCAAGCATTAATGTACCTCCCGACCTGGGCTGTCGAGGCTGGCTGAGAACCAGCAGCCCCCGAACTTATGCATTTGGCAATTTAGAGCCATGGCCGGCCAGAAGCCGACAGACATGGCAAAGCCCGTACACGAGCTCATTTTGAGCCGGTACGTCGAGTCTTTCCAACGCCATACACAAATTAAATGATAACTTGATCGCTTAGTCCGCACACTGAGCACCGACTTCGCTCTTTTATTTTTCTGCCAGAGAAATAGAGAGCTTTGGACGATGCTTATTACTGTAGATGTAGTCTATTACAGCGGGCTTAGTAGTTCTAGTAACAGAGGCATTTTACACAAAGGGTACATCTAAAGAGGCAAAGAAACGCAGCATGGAACTGGTTTTCTCTGATATAGCTTTGATATGTAGAGATTACATCTTTTCATGAAACCAAGTGAGTGGACGCCAAAGCGTTTTCCCGTGAAGAAGAACAAGAGTGTGTATCTGATGATATCATTCATCAAGTCTCGACATATGCCAAAAAATCAGACTGGTTCAACTTCTTCCTTGTGTTGCCCGTTTTACTGGGAAAACTTTCCTCATAGAGCCCCCTTCTTCTCCTCGTTAAACTTTTGAGACAAGTTCAAACTCTGTCAGGACAAAGTGTGCGCCAATATCCTCGCTGCAAGGCATTTTTTTCCTGATACAAGTTGCAAGGTTACAGTTAAACGGGAACGTTTGGTGGGTCTTTAATATTGCCGATTCCAGTGTCTCTGATATATCTTTCGATCTCGGGTTGCATCGAGTTCCAAGTTCTTTCATTAAAGGCAAAGTTGGCCTGACTAAAGGTGAATCTGGTCCTGACCGTGGTCTGCGTGCTCTTCGTCTTAGAGGTCGTATACATCTCTTGGTCCAGGGTATAAGTGATGTTGCGAAGTGCTTTTCCCTCAAATTAGCCAATTTCTCTATATTTCTAGAACATGGGTATGCTTACATGCGCGTAGGTCATCTCTAACCTCGTCATACGTGTACACTTGAAGCATGCTCCAGAAAGAACGACGGTCAGCCGTGTAATTCGTCTCCTTTATGGTTTGCGAAATTCCTTGGAAGATGGCCTCAAGTGAGGCTGCTAGGGGCCGAGGAAGTACGATCCCAACGAGCATGGTCGCCAGCAGTTCCCAGTGGAACCTGCTTTTTTCAATGTGGATTTCCTTATCAACGTTGCTCGACTGGGGGCTGTACATCCTACATGATTGTTAGCTTCAGACGGCATATATTCGGTCTAAGAAGCAACATACCATGGATACACGCCATCATTGAAATAGACGTCCATGACCCTGGACCGGTATTGAGAGCGTCTCCAGCGAGAATCATCACTATCATCGGTTGGAAGAGCTCCCTCTTCCTTTCGCCTCCTAACCTGGATTCCGGCGTGGATGGTTGCTAGCTGGTGAGTCAACTGGAGCATTTGCTCTAGCTGGTCCATACGTTCTTTGAATCTCTGACCTAGGCCTGGGGCCTCCATATTAACATACAAAATATTGTCAGGGTCATTGAACCCCATGTCATCGTCACTGGGAATTTCATTCTTTGCAGGTGCCCTAAAGGAGGGCCTATCGATGGGAAGGTCTGCCACATCACCCCACGTAGTGCTTGGAGCCATGGTGCTAACAAAACTCAGGATGAGTCCAGATGGTTGTTGGTGCGGTGTAAATCGTTGCTTAGCCCATGAGCTGATGATATGCCTGTGTCGATATCACCTTGATTGGTAAGGAATGCGTCTTTTATACCTGGATTTTCGGCTTTGATTACCATGACTCCGCATTCCCTGCGCCACATGTGTCAACAATCCATGTCTTCTCGGGACGACACATCACGTCGCAGTTGTCCCGGCCCGCGTAGAAAATATACAACTCATGCAAGCCAGAGACAACCACACCCCTTGGGTTCCATCACCCGTGCGCCTTGGGCAATGCCTTGGGCGCCTTTCCATTCGGCGGTGTAACACGGTTGCACAATGGTTGTGTGTAAGTCAACATGCTGTACCAAGGAGCGGTGTGTATTTGTAGGAGACCGTGACAGAACACGGTCTGGGCCACACGCCCGATCATCTTCAAGTCCAATCGTGCCATTTTAGCGCCCCTAGTTTCTATTCCATTAATGTAGAAGCACCGTCCGTTGTTATGCTAGTTACTTACTATCTATATCAGACAAAATCTCCAATAGGATGATAAATACATGATGACCAAATATGTCTACCAGTAAACGGATTCAGCCCTCACTCTCGACGGGTCTGAGCTTGAGTGCATGTGGTCACATGTGCCCATGCCGAGACTCACGATGACCCCTGCCATGGACAGAGAGCTGCTGCTAGGGCAGCCTAATTGGGCGGCGTGCATGGTAACCTGCACATCCGGGGCAGTGTCTCATAGGAGAGCAGATGTCAGCGGCATGTCATAAATGGCCCCTTTTGTGTGACTGCATCAATGTTACAAGCCACTCGATGGACTTGCCACGAATCGGAGGCAGAGGCGCATCGTGAAAGTTGAGGGGTAGGGCCCTTCAGTTGCGAGTCGCTTAAGAATTCTGGACATCTCATTTGTTCCTGTAGCAATCTGTTTCGTATTGTCCTCGGTTGACACCTACTTGTATGCAACGAGACACCATATACAGGTTTAACTGAGGCACTTTTTAACCGATTGCCACTCCAGGCACATGCATGTGATATTCTTCTTTTGTAGTACCTGGTAGAATACACCGTATCTTGCATTGACCGCTTCGACATGTGATAGCTTAATCATGACAAGACGCGCCGGCTTTGGCCATAAGGGGTTGGGTAGCGACGGCACCTACACCATGATGGGTTGGATGTTTCCGCCGTGGGATGCCCCGAGTCCGTGAGCCTGTATTATATAGCCGCGAGTATGCCATAGGCAATATCAATTCTCCAACGTCCACCATCTTTATCTAACCAGCATGGCTTCGATCGCACCTGATGTGGAGCAAGTGACCATCAAGTTGAGGTCCGAGCCGCGCCTGAAGCCTGCAAGCGTAGACGTCTCTAATGATTATGGCACTCCCAATGTTCTCTTTCTATACTACACACCGTTTATTCCAGATGATAAGAAGCTAGATCTTGACGCTATACAAGATGAGTTCCAGACTTGGAACGCGTGGGAGCTTGGACAGGCAGAGACGCAGCTCATCGGACATGTTGAAGCTGGCAATCTCCCATCTGACGACTCAATCGCCTCTCGTATAATTAGAAATAACTATCGATCAAAGGCTATTGATTTTTTTCGCCAAGGAAATGAGGCATGGTATGTTTCACACAAGCGTCTGGTCTTTCGTGGACTGAAGGCCAGGGACTAAGTGATGACTCCTAGGCTATCTCTCGCAAACAATGCCACAGCTCAAAAGGTCATTGTAACGGCGCAAAGCGAGGCCCATGGGTCCATCCGTCAAGAGATGAGGGCGCTGGCCGCAGAACAACACCTTCAAAGCCAGTTCGAGGTGATTATCAACGCTATAAGTGGTAGTGTTGAGGTAGCGGAAGAGAATAAATTTTACTTTACCCATGTCTATTATCGATATGATAATGGTTCGAGGCGATTTCTGCCAGGTACAGTCCCTATTCAGGATATCGCAATAGTAGTACTAAGAAGTTGTAGTTATCTCGGACACTACTTTCGGGATCAGGAAAGAAGACGAGGGAAGCAAAGGCGGCGATGATAAAGTTAAACTAGAGATCAATCTCTCTGTTAACACTTACAATTTTGATAGAAGGTTTTGGAGAGACCATCGACATGAAGGAGAGGATGCTATCCGAATGGGGGAGCCTATCCGTAAGCAAATGGCATTGGACTTTTATGTCAACAG